AAAAGTGGAGAAGACGTCTAGAAACCGCTCCACTATATTTTAAAAAAAGACATCGAAAATCACTAATAAAAAAGGGGGATCAATGGAGTTTCATGAACACATACGTACTGAGAGACCCTATAAATAGAAGCTATAGTAAGATCCTATAGACAAGTAAGACCCAATGGAGAAACTATAAATAAAAAATAAATATCAATTGAGTTTCATGACCACGTACCTTCTATTAGAAACTATAGTAAGACACTATAGAGAAACTATAACTAAAAATGCAAAGAATTGAGATTCATCCCCTCCTAACTTCTGAGAGACTATGTAAATAGAAACTATAGTAAGGCCCTATAGAGAAACTACTAATAAAAAAGGGGATCAATTGAGTTTTATGACCACCAACGTCCCGAGAGACACCTTTCTGCCTTCCAACAGTATGGTTGATGCTTGCTTTCAGAAGACATTCTCGTTGCACACACATTTTCTGCTGATATGAAGTGGAAAGATTATAATGAATCAATTGTTAGGTCTGCTGCTAGGAAAGTTGGTTCACTGTGTCGCGCTAGACAATTTTCAACGCTTGAATCTATATTGAAAAGTTATAAGTTATATAGTTTCTCTATAGAATCAATTGAGTTTTATGACCATCTACGTTCTAAGTCCCTATAAATAGAAACTATAGTAAGACCCTATAGCGAAGTAAGACCCTATAGAGAAACTATAAATAAAGAAGGGAATCGTCCTGGGTATGGCGATAAACTACATCCAACAGCAAGGCCTCAGATAATGTTTTCGGAAAAATAATGTTGCCAGCTATCCGTTTTTGGAACCATAATGTTGCCAGCTATTCGTCCATGCTTTGAATATTGCTGCCACAGTCCAGTGCACTTGCTATCCATTTAGAGATTATTGATAAAATACAAAAGTTGGTCCTGGTCTAGCATCTCGGCTGCAGTCACTTTTCCCACCGCCTTAATGTGGCTTTCTTATGCCTTTTCTATAAATGGTAATTGTTCTGACTAACTTTCCTCTGTGTTACGTAGACGCTATGGCTTTAAGCGCAGTACTAGATTGGCGGTAAGGTCTCATTTTACAGTTGAAATTGTTAGATGTAACCGTAAGTTCGATGCTAACAGTTTCTGTTCTCCCAAACCTCTCGCTTGTGAAACTCTCTTCGCTTCCCAGCCAACTTTGATCTTCAAAAATCTAAATGCGATGATAATTATCTTCCGTACTCTTGATTCTTGTTCTTTTATTATTCTCTCTCTTTAATAGCTTTTTTTCTCATACGCTTTAACACTTTGCATCGTAGTGGCTTTATTGCCTTGCTTGGAGTGAAATGATTAAAAAAAATGACATGGCTAAAAAAAAAAAAAAAAAGAAAGAATATTTACTGGATTATTTACCGAAATAATAATAATAATAATAATAATAATAATAATAATAATCTCTATCTATAAAAGGCAGTGTGTGTGTGTGTGTGTGTGTGTGTGTATGTGTGTGTGTGTGTGTGTAATGAATGCACGGCCGCAATTTTCGACGGATTTGCACCAAAATTTACATCCACATGCTCCAAGTTAGCGGGATGGCCAAGACCGACTTTGCATTTCCCAACGCTCATCGATAGTGGAAATAATCGATTTTTTCATGCTTCTACGGCAGTTTTCATGTAGTTTGCGGCCATTTTATACTGGCCAGAGTGAGAGCCAATACCTGGCTGCCACGAATAGGCAGGAAGATTCTAATGGCCAGCGTAAGAGCCAACAGCTGACTGACACGAATGTTAACTAGCATGCTAGCATGCAAAAAAAAAAAAACGATAGCTGCATTCGTCACAAGTGGGAAAAATTTAAATCTACATAGCACTTTACTCCAATTGGCTCATTCGATTGCTTAAACCGTTGATTCTGATTCCGCAGAACTGGGTTGGGTGTGAAAAGTATTTGTTGTTAACATTCGTTTTTCATTCAGTTTTTCCAGTTACGAGTCCTTTTTTTTTTTTAAAGCTGATCGTTTTATGTTCATTTTGTTTAGTTCTTTTTTCGTACCAGATTTAATGTTTAGTATAGAGCTTAGAAAAAATTCGCAGTGTGGGATAGGCAAGAAGCAAGGCATGTTACAACATCAGCACAGCAAAGAGCACTCCTTTAAAGGCAAGGAAAGGCAAAAATATTTTAATTCAAATGATAGCGATTGCTGTATGAGTCGTACGATATTTGAATCAAGCACGGGCAACGCCGGGCCATGCTGTTAGTAATAATAATAATAATAATAATATTAACAACGTTCATGATATACCCTTATCAAATTGTATGTCATGATGGGTTTATTGAACTTTGCATATTTGTACCCTATTTTGTAGTTCCTGTTTTTAAGAACCCTGGTGAACCTTTTGATCCCTCAAATTATCGTTCTATTAGTCTTTTATCCCCTTTTGGCAAAGTACTAGAGGCTCTAATCAACTCAGAATTGGTTAAGCTTCACACGGCCTTCTTTCACATAAAAATACGGCTTTCACTTCTCTAGGTCAACCGCCGGTGTATTAAAAGTTATTTGTGAATTTGTCTGTCAAGTTTTAAATAAGAATGGCGAGGCTCGGTCTATGGCTTCAGATGTCTCGAGGGTGTTTGACGGGGTTTGGTATGCTAGTCTTCTTCATAAGTTCAAGTGTTATGGTGTCTCTGACCGAATATTTAACTTTATTCAGTCATTCTTAACAATTCCTGTAATGAAAGTTATCCCGAACGGCCACTCTTCTAGATCATTTCACATTATTGCGCACTTTCTAGCACTTTATTCCGGTTTCTTGCTTTCCTGTCATCCAAGGCTGGTGCATACTACCCACCCACGGAACCACCCGAACCAGAGGGGAGCAAAGCCTGATTGGGGGCCCTGGGCAGTGCCTTCTGACTCTCACTATCTTATCAACATTTACTTTTTTCTACCTACATTTTTATCCTACAAATTAAACTAAGCACGACTTACTACTAAAAGATGAAATTTTTTCAGGGATTTTGACGGCATTCTATTTTTCATTTTTCGTCCAAATCCATGAATTTGTTTTGATCATGCTAAGTCTCGAAAAAAACACTATATAAAATTCACTATTTTTATCCATATAAAATTTACTTTTTCTATCCATAAAAAACACTATATAAAATTCACTATTTTTATCCATAAAAACACTATATAAAATTCACTATTTTTATCAATAAAAAACACTATATAAAATTCACTATTTTTGTCCATATAAAATTCACTATTTTTATCCATATAAAACTCTATAGAAAATTCACTATTTTTATCCATAAAAAACACTATATAAAATTCACTATTTTTATCTATAAAAAACACTAAATAAAATTCACTATTTTTATCCATAATGTTGGATATGATAAAATTATTCAAATTTTTAACAAGAAAAATCTCAAGTAGTAGATAAAATATTACTGCAAAACATTGTTGATTTATTTAAGATGGAATGATTCTATTTTGGTTATCGCTAATTTGTACTTAGATACACTGCATTTATTTTCAGTTCTTCTTTTAGAATTATTCACCTATATTGCGTATGATCCATTATTTAACATAATTAGGTTACAATAAATTTTTTATTTTATATGAATACTACCTTATAAAAATTAAGAGAGTGATGGGTAGTGGGGTTGTATAATAGAACCATGGCCCCGTATCATAGTTTCAGTGTGTGTGTTGGAGGGGTGTACACGAGACCCTTGCACCGGCCATGCAAAAATTTAAATGCAACGTCAATCACCATCTCTCTTGATATCTGTTCTTTAATTGTACTTCTCACTAAAATCTTATTTTATTTCTCTCTCAGTAACCCCACTTAGTGTCATTATGGCCTTTCCTGACGTGAAATAATTTTTAAAAAAAGTAAGAAAAATGAAATTAGTTAATAAATTAATAAAGACCTTTAATTTTGTTGATAATTCATTATTTACACTTTAACATTAAAGCTGTCGATTTTTACTGCTTAGTATTTTTTTGTTCTTAGCTTTTTTCTTAGCTTTCAAGGAGAACGAGGAACAATCTGTGAGCTCGAAAAGGCAGGAACCTTGAAAACAAAATCGCTGTTCTAAAAATAGCTTTTTTTTTAAATATGTTTTTTACGGAAAGAAACTTTTATAAGTTTGTGTGTGTGCGCGCGCGCATGCGTGTATTTTTTCGTGTTTGTGAACACAATTGAAAATATACGCTCACTGTTCACATATGACGTCACATGCCCAAAATCTAACTCCAACATCATATTATGAGTCATCAGCTACGGGAGGAGCCAAAGTGGGAAGAGGAAGTGAGAAAGCAATAGAAGGCGGATCTTTTCAATCCTCGTGTCTCTCCCATGAAGGAGAGAAAGATAGGTGGCGTAGTCAGTGCGCGTCTCAGTTTTCGTCAGGCAAGGAGCTTTCTCTTCGCTGCCGATTCGTTTTGTTTTTTATTTTATTTTATTTATAACGGCACAAATCGTATGTTCATTCATTACTACGTTCGTTCTCTCTATCTCTTTACAATGGTGTCTTTTATGTAGTATTCACTCCCTTTTGTCGGTGATTACAACGACGGCAAACCCGGGAGAAAGAAAATCACGTCTTTTATCAAAAGGGACGATGAAATTGAAATACTACAACGTCTATGAAGGAAAAACTGTCTTATTTTTTACTACTAGAACTTGAAAAAAAAAAGATGTTACTGTCTATTCTCCTTTCTGTGTAGATTTTTTATTTTTTTATTTTTCGAAAATTAAGTTTTTTTTTTTTGTTAAACCTTTCTTCTCGTGTAAAACTGCATTTTTTGTTTCTCTTTTTTTCTGAACTCAAAGTCTGTACGATTTCGATTTACACAACAAACACCAAAAGAAAAGACTTCATTTACCCCACGAATTTTTATTGTTTCGAGTGAAATACTCGTACCAAAGCCTGGACTTAAAACGTTTTTTTTTTTATTATTATTGTGAGTGGACAATCTCCACTCTGTTTTAAGTTCCGGTCATCATGGTGGGATCTGAAACTAGCCAATGTGTCAAGTGTGTCGTTGTCGGAGACGGAGCTGTTGGAAAAACTAGTATGTTGTTCAGTTATACGACCAGAGGATATATGTCCGATTATATGCCAACGATGTTCGATTCCTTTCCCGGTAAGTTAACGAATCATTTTTTTTTTTAATTTTATTTACCTAAATCTATTTTTGCTTTCACTATTCGGGATATCGTCGTTTAGCGTCCCTAATTATTGCCTTTGGTGTGCAGTGAGTGTGTTAAATAATCGGTCAGTTAACAATTTATTTTTTTTTCTTTTACTTGAAATTTTTAAAAAAAGTTTCTTATTGCTTTTCAAACTACAACTATTATACGATAAAACAAACAAACCTGTATTCAAAATATTTCAAGTGTTTTTTAGTTTTGTTTTTTTTTGTTTTTTTAATTTTAATTTTTTTTATATTTCAATTAAAAAAAAAATGTTATCTAATTTATTTATTGTAACTGACGGTGTACCTTCACAACAACTGGAATAATTTGGGATGTTAAAGTAAACTATCAATCCCTTACGATTGGACCAAACTAGTTTTTTTTTTTTTTTTTTTTTTTTTTTTGCCTAATGCATCGGTGAGCAGGCTCGACTTTTAAACTTGTAGATTCCCCAAAAAAAAAAAAAAAAAAAAAAAAAAAAAAATCTAGAGATGAAGTTCAAGCACTGTGAACAAATTGTTTTTTATTTTATTATAGACACTCCAGATAATGAATATTGAAAACAAGGTAAAATTCTATAAAAATTAATAGTGGTGGTGGGGGGATAATTTGCTATATAAATTAATTTTAAATTACCTCCCCCTCCACACACACAGACTCCGCGTTACGTTTTTAAAATTCTAAAAAGTCATGTGGAGTGCCTAATCGATAGTAATATTGGAAGAAAAATAGAAAAAAAGAGGTAAAAAATTCAAATAACGAATTTCTAATTATTTAGAATGAGCACATTGAACTTCCGTAGTCGGGGGGGGGATCAATTTATGAGTTTACATAGCAAACTGGACCCCTATTAACTTTTATAAAATTTGATTAAAAAAAAAAAAAAATTATATTCATGATCTGGAGTCAGTTAAGTGCCATTACGTGATACATGCTTGGGCGATCTCTTTCGATTCATGACTGACTAGGCTATAGGATCCAGTCTGTCCTGATATTTAACCCATAGCTGAGGGGAGAAGAGATGTGCATAATTGAATGTTACTAACCCGACTGGAATTCGAACTCTGCTCCCCGATTTCTCAATCGAAGCCAATATTTATTACACCACAGCACACATCACCTGGAGGACTATATCTATAATAATAAATATATATATATTTATACTTTCTTAATATGTATATATAGAAAAAGTTGCAAATTGAAAAAATGTTTTGTTTATTTATTTTTTTTTTTTTATGAAAGTATTTATTTATATAATTTCATAAAAACATTTTTTCAATTTGCAACTTTTTCTATATATACATATTAAGAAAGTATACGTAGCTTCTCATTATGCTATATATATATATATATATATATATAAAATTCTGGTCGAAAACTTAACCATTTTAATGTTTTTAGTTTACACGAATGATAGGCTAAACTTAGAGTTAGTAAACAAATACTTATCACAAAACGCCGGGGTAATTAGTGGACATTGAACGAGCAACACACACGCCGGTAAAGAAAGATAATCACGCTAATCCATGGCGATCAACCCGCATCGTTATAGCTAAGAAGTTAATAGAGCTAATTACGGCAAAGATTAGTGCATTTGTGTGTGGGGTGGATAGACTGAGGGATATTGTTTTTTGTTTTCATTGTTATAGTGGATGCTTCTGGATTTACTGAACTGAAAGAAATCGCCATTCGAAATTCTGAATAACAAGATAAAAACGATGACTACAGGGCATCCGTTTATATTTAGTTGTATGATGGCCTTACAGATTGCGTCCAAACATGAACTGTCGCCGCTCGGTGTTGACCTTCGTGTCCATGCTTATATTTACACGCGCTCAATCCTAGATATTGAACACTTTTACCTAAAAATATCAGTCATGTGCCATACGCGATACACGCTTAGGCGATCATGTATTTTTTCGATACATGACGGGCAAGCCAGGCTTTTCCCCGCAGTAGGTTGCCATTTCTTTCTGCGGTAGACCAGTTGCCATCCAAGGCTATAGAAACTGACCTGATATTTACCCATAGCTGGGGGGGGGGAGGATGATTCGGTCCTTTCCCAAGGATATTAGCACGTAAGTGAATGTAATGGACTAGACTGGAATTCGAACTCTGCTCAATCCGAGCCGCTATTTATTAAACCAACGTGCCTCCTCTTAAATATAGCATACCTCAAAGGGCACCTCGAGGTGGTGTAATGGTTAGCAAGCTTGTCTCGCTAGAGCAATTGTGTAGTGAGTTCGATCCTCACTGGGTGCCCCTTACTTTAGGCCTTGTGCCACATCCAAGCTACGCTTGGTAAATCACTATAGCATACCTCAAAACTATATTTTCTATCTTGTGTATAGGCAGTTTCCCCTCTTAGATTTTTGGGTGATTACAACTCTCTACAGCTTTGTTTTATTTCTTCCAGTAGCTTGTATTTTGTTTGGGGGGGAAGCCATTATCGCTTACGTTCCTTTAATTACATAGGTGATAATGTCTCTCCGCAGGCTATTCTATCTTTGACTTACCATGCCCTGTTTTTGGCGGGCGTTGTTGGTGGTGTGGGGGGCGTAGTTCCACCTGTTTTAAGTTGTATCAATCTTCTATAGAGTGAATGCTATCCAAGGCTAAAGAGTCCTGTCCCTCCTGATAGTTAATAAGTAACAGCAGTTGGGAGCGGGTTAGGAGGATACATACCTTTCTCAAAGAAAGTGAACGCAACAAATGAGGTCAAAACTTGAACTCGGCCCACCTATTTCACTTCTGGATAAATGTAAAATGTTCTCCGCACACCCTTTCTCTCTGTGTTTGTTTAATTCATACAGTTACTAGTGAAAAGACTTTATGGTGACCTGGGGATCAGTAATAGGTTCGGGTTCAAAAAAGCAAATCGCCATCACCTCAGGGTGCTACCATCCCTGCCCACTACAGCTACCCATAACACTACCTGGCTGGTATTTTCTTTTTTTTGTCTGTGTGGGAATGCCGGATGTCTCCAGATGTGGATCAAATCGAGTCTCTTAACATATTTCCTTTTTTTCTGTCGGTGAAAATAATTCAAGTTTCGTCAGGTATGCCGAGTCTGGTTTGCCATAAATCCTTAGCATCCGACTTCTATAGGAAATATATTGGCCGCTTAGTCATTTCTTATGCATTGCTTTCATAGTTCACATATATACTGGTTAAAAGATAAAATGGGGAGGTGGGTTACAAGTGACGCGTTTTGTCCTGACAATGTTCTAATAAAGATTTTGTCGACGGAGTCGGTGTTTATATGTACAGGGTGTTTGAAAAGTAACTCCCCATTTTAAAATATTTATTAATTATTACAAGAGATGGATATGAGAGTAAAGCGTTTACTTTCGCATGAGGTTTTATAGCTTCTCAAGCCGCCCAGAAATCGCGTCAACTGATTTCACCAGGAACTTTTGTGGTATGAAAGACATAACTTTTCGTATTCATCTTTCAAGTTCTTCCAATGTCTTGGTTTGGTGTAGTCGACTTGACCAACTCAAAAAGTCACAGGGTGTTAAGTCAGTACTCCTGACTGCCCACTCACACGTAAAATAGGAAGTTACCTTTCAATCAGTGTGTGTGTGTGTGTGTATATATATATATATGTATATATATATATATATATATATATATATATATATATATATTTCTCTGGATATAAGAGACCCTGATATAAGAGAAACCCGGATATAAGAGAGATTTTCTCTGGTTCCAAATTAGAGCCCATACTTACCTAAACAAAATAGACCAAACCCGGATATAAGAGACTTCACCGGTCCTGACATCTCTATTATATCCGGGTTACTCTATCTTATCTTATCCTATCTTATCCTATCCTATCTTATCCTATCCTATCTTATCTATCTTATCTATCTTATCCTATCCTATCTTATCCTATCCTATCTTATCCTATCCTATCTTATCCTATCCTATCTTATCTTATCTTATCTTATCCTATCTTATCTATCCTAAAAAATAATTTTTTAAAAAAATCATTCATTTGTAAATAAGTCTTGAAAGTTTAATTAAATTCCGACATTTATTTATTTTTTTTTTTATTTTTTGGTAAGAATTTGTTATTTTATCAGAAATTTTCATAGTAAAAAAAAATGTTCATAGCTCCGTTATACTGTTGATGCATAAAAAAAAACCAAAATTTCGAACGTGTTAAGAGCAAAAAAAAAAATATTATAAAAAATACTTTGGTCTTTCCTCTTAATTATAACAAACATTTTGACGATAAAACTTTGGTTTTAAGTTTGGTACCTTTTTTCATAATGCTATGATGTTTTTTAGCGAAAAAAGTGGGTGTGCTGCCGGTAAATGCCGGTTAGTTTCACATGAAAAACGTTAAAAGATAAAGAGTGGCTCAACATTTAAAATTTTGACGTCCGGCAGAACTAGATGTTTAACCTAGCAGCTCTCATTCAGCCTATCGCTTACTAATCTGGGATAATTAAAAAAAAAAAAAAAAAAAGGTTAGGGGAATTAGATCAGTTAAATTAAGTCTACATAAACCGGACGTCAAAACTTAGATTTAAGGTTGAGCATATCTGTACCGCTTGTCGATGTCAAACTCACCTAGGTTTGTTCTATTTCTCCTCTTCCTATATATATATATATATATATATGGAAGACGTTATAGTAGTTCAACGAGAAAAAGTGTGTATATTAAAGAAAACCGCAAACGTTTTTGCTTATAATGTGGATTTAAAATATATATTATATTTATTTTCCATATTTTAAAAAAAATCCACATACAAACCAAAAAACGTTTACGGTTTTCTCTTTTTATATGTATGGAGATTTATATATATATATATATATATATATATATATATATATATTATATATATATATATATATATATATATATATATATATATATATATATATATATATATATATATATATATATATATATATATATATATATATATATATA